TGGCGTTATTACTTCTCGCTCCTCGACTCCATTCGCTCACCTCTCCTGCTTCTCCATCTCCTGCCTTCACCTGTCGTGCACCTCATTCTGTTTATTCCACACTCGTGTACTCCCGTCAGTCTCTCTACTCTGCCGTATGACCCCCCCCCCCATCCCGATGTGGAATTCCATGACTTTTCAATAACGACGCCGAATTGAAAATTGAATTCCGAGATTGGGCTGCACCAGCTAAATGTTGGTGTGTTAAGTCCTTCCTTCCTCGCTGATAGAGTTTCAAACTAGTGATGTATTAACTCACTATTGGTTGCACTATTGAAAACAAACAAAGTAAATATGGATGTAAATTAAAAAATGGTCCAAAAAAAACGAATGTTTGATAAGAAAAGAAACACTCCACATGTTTCTTAGACATGAAGAGTGCACAGAGTGTGAGGAGCACTGAATGTAAACTCCACAGGGCAACAAATGTCTAAGTGAAAACTAAAGCGAAGTGAAAATCAGTTGCTAGGATACACGTAAAGCTTTCAAATCAAAAGCCAACAGTTATTCTACAGCGTAACTGGAGATTTCTGAGAGGTTTGAGAGCATTTTTATTGAATTTTAAATATCGAATCACTAATCCACCCTGAATCCTTTGGAACCTGAGCTGCGTTCCCACCAAGAGGTTCCTGGTAATTCTACTTTTTAGGAAGTAAAAGGTTCCTTCAGCCCGTTTCCAGAGATGAGACGAACTAGTCCGCTGACGTATGAAAGGACACGACCCGGGACACACTCTGCAGCTCAGTGTGCTCGTCTGTCATCTAAATAACAAAAAGCTCCGTTTTGCCTCACCGTGACGACATTTAACGGCTGCGTGGTGTTTAGTGCTGGACGTTAATGAATGAAATGTAGGAGGATGAAAGCGGGAGCATCCGTCTCCACAGTAAGTCATCTGTTGAGTGTTTGCTTGTGACGCAATCTGAAAACATCTTGTTTTCCCTCATTCACAGCACTGCCGTCTTCCACTCCACCTCTCAGCCCTCGCAGCTCCATCGCTCCGTCTCTCCTTTTCTCTCTCAGTCTTTTACAAAGTGAGACGTGAAGCTGACAGCAAAGCCCGACTTTACCTGAAAGTACTTTCGGGGGGAAGTTTGTGCCTCTGGACAACGAATACTTACGTCAGAAAGTTTTTGTGCAACCAGTTTGTAATTAATGTTGTGTATATCAACGACGATAAACCAAAACCTTATTAAGGGGGCGGTGAAGGGACGGGATCAGGAATACAACATTAAATACCCGCGTCTACAATAAAACCTTCCTCTCCCTCCTCTCCTTCTCACGCCCTCATCACCTTCTCCTCACCAATCAATGATGTTTAATTAGTTCATATCGGGTTTCATCTCCTCATCTCACAGATTTCATTCCAGCGAGGACGCTCTTGAGCAGTAAAACGGAGGAGACGACGTTACAAAATGGCCGTAGGGCAGTACAATCAGTTTGTGCATCAAACCATCATTACAAATAATCATGATTTCGTCGCGGCGGTAACTGTATCGAGCAAATAAAAAATCATCAGGATAATCATTTTCATTATCGCGTTCCCCCGTATCGGCGCTCTCATTTCCCCTTCTCCTAATTTTCAAGGATGCCATCGCGCACACAAAGGAGACGAGGTAAAAGAAGCCGTTTCCCTCTAATGTGATTGGTGTCGTGGAAAGAGGCCGTTATTCTGATCAAAAGTGAAAAAACACCTCGCTGACATTTGCGTTCTTCCCCCCCCCCTGCCCTCCTCGATTAATTTGACTCTTCTGTCTCCCATTTACCAATCTCTCCCTCTGTCTCCATCCATCGCCCTCCGTCTGTCGGATCATTTCACTCCATTATCTACCTCTCCTCTACCTTCTGGTCTTTATCTCCGTCTTGTTTTCTCTCTTCAACCTTTTCACTTCCCCTCCTCTCATCATCTCCTGCCTTCTTCCCTTTCACTTCCCCGAGCATCTCACCCCTCCCTCCCATCGTCCTCTCCGTACGTACCTTTCTCTTGCGGGTGGTGAGGACCTGGAAGGGCTGGATCTGTTTCTTCTCCCGGTCCCAGGCCACCGCCTCAGAGTCCAGGACGCAGGAAACCACCGAGTCCTTCTTCACCTTTTCAAGGAAAATCACAGATATAGTGAAAGAAAAAGGGAATTACAGATGAACAGAGATTATATTCAGTAGAGAGACGAGGAGGGCTTTTCAAGAATGTTATTAAGAATGATGTTATTTGAAAATCTGCATATCAGCAACATCTGCTGTAGCAATCAGAGGATTATCAGGAGGTCTCATTCAAGTAAATTCAACAAACTTGGGACAACGCTCAACTTTTAAAAATGACAGACTGAAGGCACGTTCAGGCTGTTTCAGGACCTGCAGCTGCTCTCCATTTGTTGCCAAATGTTTTGCAAATCAAGCTCCATGCTACATTTATCGTTTCTCTTGAGTAACTTCTACTGAACCTCTCTCTCTCTCTCTCTCTCTCTCTCTCTCTCTCTCTCTCTCTCTCAAAAGCCAAATATTTCACCAGAGATGTTTGCTTCTCAGTTTATTCCTGCTTTAATCAAAAGACTGCGACAGCTGATGAACACTTCCCTTTGGGTTCCGGTTATGGGCAGATTATATTGATCTTCAGGAGTGGCGGCGTTTATCGGAGCCTGAATCCTGCGCGTGAAGCTCGGGGATGTTAATCTCTCGCGTCCTGGTAGAGTCCGGGGCCACCGGGACGCTTTGAATGTACAACTTGAACCAGATCGAGAGGTGATCAGCGAGTGAGATCTGAGAGGTGATCAGAGGAAGCCAATCACAGTTCAGAGCGAGAAGGACGCATTAGAGGTAACGGGTTGTTTGGAAACAGACACATTTGGACTCATATTAATGTGTTAATATATTGATATCAATTCATATTTAGAAGCAGGAAGGCACTACGGAAGAGTCGGGAAAATTAGTTTCCCCCTCATTAATATGCAAAATAATGCAGCACGGTGCTGTAAAAGCTAATCAGACCACCTCCTCTATGCAGGAAACGTGTGTCGGTGTGAAGTTTGTGAGGATGTGTCGACACACACAGAAGACGCCATTTCTTTAAGTAATTGTCTGTCATGCTTATGATTAGCTATTGATTTCCTTAATGAAAGCCTCATTTAAAACAACAGACATGGGCTGTTTTTACAGCACAGTCATGGTGAATTAAATGTCATGAATTCATAAATTAAGGGGTCATAAACACAAGAAGATTGACGCCACAAATGAAGCAAAAACACCTAAACTTTTCACTCCGTTGAACTTTCTTTTTCTCTCTCTTTCATCCCAAAACTCACAGTTTAGGCAGAAGTAATGCTGAGAAACAAAAGGTGAGAGAAAGCAAAGGAGGGAGGCGAAACAAATCACCAGAATATACCGGAGTGAAGAGAGAGAATGAGGAGGACTGACAGGAGCGAGAGAGAAAATGAGGGGAATGTGTTGGAAAAGACAAATCGGGAGAAGGAAGACGGGGATAAAAAAAACAAAAAAAGGTGAGAGAAGATAGCAGTCAGGGACATCGACAGGAAGGAGCGAGAGTGAAAATATGTGAATGTAGAGGAAGAGAGAGAGAGAGAAGTGGTGAGAGGAAACGGCTATAAGAGGCAGAGAGACTGAAAAAAGATGAGGGGAAGAGAGGGAGACAGATGAATAAGACAAGAGTGAGAAGAGAGGTGAGAGTAGTGGGGGGGGGGCAGGTATCATCAAGAAGTAATGAAGAAGAAAAGGAGACAGGTGGACAGAGAGACATGAGAAGGAGACAGGTGGACGGAGAGACATGAGAAGGAG